AGTGATGTACCATTATATTAGCAATAATTGTTGTACATAGCACTAAGTTTTTGCTGGCTTAAGTTGCAGGCTTGATTTACATGGGTATTATACCTGAAAATAAAATTTCCACATCACGTGTTTAAGGAGAGCGAACAAATCTCCAAATTCAGAACGGAAGAGATAATCTCCTTCGATATAATTAGTACACGTATCTACTTTAAATGATGAAGATTATGTAAGAGGAATTGGTACTGTACATGTATGTAAATTAAATCTAAAATAAACGATGTTAGTGGTAGCAGTGACTAAAGATATTTTGGTCCTCTGACAATTGTTCGCAGCAGAAGTCACATTTTAGCTAGAGTTGGCCAACTGGAGACCCTCCTGCACAATTTAAAGGTCAAGAACTGCAAGATGATCTTTGATGAACGAGAACTACGCCAGAACATATTATTGATAAAGTTTTCTGCTGAGCGTAGTTTATAAGCTTAAGATACAAAACTTACGTAGTTTGACAGACTTGATTCTCCGCAGCATAGAAGTCTTCTTCTTAGCGGACTTAGCCGCCACAGTTATCAATTTTGATTGACGAATAACATCAACAGAAAGCATTGAGGCTGCGATTGCTAAGAGCTTGAAGCTATCGAAAATGAAATACTGATGAAGAGTTTTCGGCGCGTTCAGCTTTAAGCTGAAGTTGAGTTTCGTTTCATAGCAGTGAAAAAATAAAATAATGTACGTGAAATTCAAACCTTTGTAGTGTTAAAAGACAAAGAGTCATTACCAAATACGGCGTGCACTTCAGGATTCACAACACTTCCTCTTTGAAAAGATTCGTCATGAGAATGTCATGGAATGATTTTTAGCGCTCACGAATAACAACGTGACTGCATTGTGATCACACAAAGCCCTTCTCATGACGGAATTTTAAAACAAATCAACTTACAGAATGATAAAATAAATTGACTATCAATCGCGATCAGTATTTTCTTTCCTCTTGTTGAATCGTGATATGTAAGCCAATCGTTCGCAAGGGAACAAAAAACTCGGTTGTAAATAAAGTTCGTTTGAGCTTTCGAAAGTAGAATACGCTAAAGTGGCCGTGCTGGCTGAAAGCTTAACGAAGGACACTTGTGATTACCACTTCTGGACAGTTGAAAACAAGCGTTAGCACAATGGTCAACAATATTTGCCTACCTTCAAATCCCTGTTGATGAAGAGCTAGGTAATTTCGAGCGCAGCCACAACAAATCAAAATCAATTCAAAACACATAAAGCGAACTTTATCGTTCTGGATACCAAAGCATTAAACCGGAACTTGCCTCAATAAACACAGTTTGACCACGTAATTGTACTGTAGCATTTAGTTTCGACTGAATTTTTTTACTTCCCTGTCACTCGACCTATCGCTTTGTTCGCTCCAAGTTACACATGACAATCAATCAATGAAGTTGACAGAATTTTTCCCGTTGAGCAAAAAGCCCATTCTAAAGCTCAATTTACAGAATATGGAAAATTCACTTACCAGTAGCAACATTTTCTAGACAGTCGAGAGTTCGCAACAGACGGGTAAAGCCTTCTTCGGTGTCAAAGTCGCTCGGAGAGAAAACCTACACACAGCAAAACATGGCGCACACTATTAGATCGTGTTGAGCGTGCTCAGATGGGGCATGAAATTTTAATGTCGCAACGCCGATGTTTATTTTATGATAATCATAATGTACGAAAATTATTCATGTTCGCCATCAAACCTCTTCGTCCCCTAGCTGCAGTTCTTGACAGGCGCTCGCAAAAGCCTTGAAGTTCTCCAAGCGATCCTCTACTGAAATCGGCCCTTGGTGAATCTGTGAAAGAACGACCAGCGGACAGATATACAAAATGCTAATTTACATGACAAAATGCCGAAACAGATCTCGTTGTGGCTGATAAACAAGTCACTCTCTTACCTTATTTATTGTACCTGGCTTCACTCGATTAACCAAACGGCAAAGAATCGAGCCGTCTTTTAAAATATTCTGGAGATAGCTGTCAAACTCGTCATCGGGCGTTATTTGCCGCTGCTCCAGTAGACCCAAAGCGACAAACCAGCTTTCTATCTGGCGCGGTTTGAGCCGCATTTTATACAAATTCAGCCGATCGGTGGTTCAAGACCCGCACTGTACAGCGCTAAACAAAATAAACTCTATCCCGCCGAGTGTTTGGGTATTTGAAATTCTTTGATCATTGGGTGGAACGACATACCTGGTTAATTCATCCCATTTAATATAGTACAGGAAACGGACAAAATAAATTACGCGCCAAGTCTGGACAGACAATTGATTGTTCGACTTTGAAAATTTTCCCGCGAAAATTTGATTCCACTGAAGCAAGCCAGCGTGTTAACATTTAAAAGAGAAGTAAATATAGCATACTTAAAGAAGACTTTAATTTTTCTATTTCCTCATTAAAGCAAATCAGGGATAATAGGGAATTTTCAAACCTAGCAGCTCTTACGCGCGGGAAGTACACTTCCTATAGTATTCTTCGGTAAACATGGAAATTGACCGAGGCACTCCCTTATTACGTGGGAGAGCTTTGTGCCGTTGATTTCAGATGTGCCGGTTCTCACAGCCACCAACCAAATAACGAAATCTGAGATCTCTTTAGTTTTCTAACAACTTATAATCAAAGCAGTGTAAAAACCTTGATCGAGGTTGTAATATTTTTGTCATCTCTATACGTTTCTAGCTTTGTGGGCACTGCGTAACAAATTCGCAGGAAATCGTGGCTTATCACACTCAGTTAACGATTGATCAAATCCATCATTATCATCGATAACAAATTGTAAAGCTTTTATTTGATCGTTACCAAGACCTGCAGATGTCAGCGTATCAGATCACACAGATACCGAAGAAATAATAAGCCAGTGATCATTTTCGGGGGTAGAGGAGGGGGAGGGGGGGCGGTGGTAGGGGGGGGTGCGGGTTGGGGTTCAAAGATGATTGTGCTAAATTCATAAAGAGATCTTGTTTCTGAAAGACTTCAGGTGCGTGTGCGAACGAAAAACAATACACAACAAGCTCTATTGGTTTGGACCTCATAATCAAAGAAAATTGGAAAACATTCTAAACGAAAGTCGACCTCGTAATAGTGGCTAATGGAGTGTTGTTTAAAAACGCAGAGTTCTGTTTCGCTGGTCGTCCCTCCTCTGTATTTGTGCAAGACAAAATAAGAGACTTTTCAGCCCAAGCTATTTTAATTCGTCACGTTATCTTCCTTTTCTCCGTGAACATTCGATCGAAAGATTGCGTGCTTGTGGTATCACCCTAGCGCGACGTCACACACTCTAGTCACGCGACAAATATTGCGAAAAAATGGCGTGACATTTCGAATGCTTTAGTTGCAAGTTATTTCCTTTTCAGCTCTATATACAAAAATAACAGGACATTTAGAGTCTTGGGATAAAGTAAATAGGAATAAAAAATTATGTCAATCTTTTACTATAGAAAGGGATTGTTATAATTTGAAGGATGTAGACATCCGAAAGTACACATAAACTATTTGCCCATAAAAATCTCACTCTGCTTTACCATAGGTTTTTAATCAAACATGTTGCAAGGCAGTGATGAAGTTTACAGTTTTGAAACCTACTTAGCAAATTTATGCACGTCTAATGTTTAGTTTGGACCGCAACTAAACAATTACTTTTCTCGCGCGAACATTGCAGTTTCCACCATGTTTGCCCACCACGCCATGATAAGATGCAAGGTAGGTTCATGAGTATTTCGGATTTCACTTAACAGCTTCCTTCAACAGGATTTCCAAAGGAAAAAGGCAACAAATTGTACAAAAATTCTCCCAAAAAGTTATTGACAAGTTTGCTTAAACCCTGCTATGGATGATTCCAATTTATTATTTCCAACATAATATTTTAATACATAACACTCGAGCAAATAATGTCTTGCCAAATAATTTAGGCAGAAACCATAATTATCTGTCTCTTGCTGTTATTTCAGGTAAGTACACAAAATATTCTATAACTACATTTTAAAAGATTAATCCTTTGTCCTCTCTGTCCATACTCCCACTTGTATACGACCGAAACCGGGGGACTGAAACTACATAAAAGCATTGAACTAACAGGTGCATGGGGTGGGAGGAAGAGAAAGGCAATAACCTAAAGCACTGCACTGGAAAGCATTATTACACAGCAGAATTTGTTTATAATACAACAAAGTACACCAAATCACATAGTCAGCTTGATCACACCATTTTGTTTGTATTGTGCAGTTTTGGATAATATCCATAGCCATTTCAAGGAGGGTTATTGGATATTTTGAGGGGGAGGGGGGGGGGGGATTTCAAAAGCCAAAATTTTAAAAGGAAAGTATGAAGCTAAACTGGAATTTCAGAGGGGTGGGGGAGTTCAAACTAAAAAAACTTCTGTGGGAGGGGTATTGTCATTTTCTGAAAAACAACACATTACAAGACCGTTTGAGGAAACTAAGATCAGCACATCAGTGCAAAGATCTAAGCAAATAACTTCCTTCACACAGCTGTTGTGCTGGTCGTCAAATGACAGTACTCCTCAGATTGAAGGAATAGGGTGATGTGGTCACAACTACAAAAATATTAATTCAGACCACACTATCCTGTGACACATACAATTTTTGTTACAATGAATGACAAATCACTACAAGTTGTTTGCCTAGATGAAATGTTACCCTTCTCTTGCTGTAATTTCCCAATGCATCAAAAATAATGATGACAGGAGACAGATCCAAAACATGTGTAAGATGTGGAATAATTACCTCATATTGTTTTTAAAAGTGTGAAAGCAAAGTCTAAAGAGTGGAACGGGTACTACAACCCTTCAAATCCTAAACAAAAGTTGATGAATATGACCTTAGTTGGTATTGGAGACTGCTAGATATAATGCAAAACTTGTCTTTCATTGAATTAATGGATTATCAACTGACTGCTCGTGAAATAAGGAATAATTTTAACTCTCAAATTTTCATCTGTCAATTCTTATAATGTTGTTTTCCATACTACATAATTTTTTTGCGAAATCAAATTTTCACTTTTTGCAATTTTCGTTTTAAAATTGTGAAAATTTGATGTCAAAAAAAGGAAAGCAACATATTTTGAAAACAAAAAGTGTCAAACACATTGGCCAAATTGGCAAAAACTAGGTGTCACCAAATAAAGTTGTTCAAAAATCATGAATCCAGATGCAAGTTGCCGTGAAAATTTTACAAGACATTTATATTTTGACAAAATGCTATTGAAATAACTTCCTTATCTCACTTGTCACCATTTGATAACCTGTACAAATTGCACTGTGTAATAACAAGGCCTTCCAAGGCCTTAATTTACTGCAAAACAGATAACGTCTATTACCATTACTCTTTTATTATTACTTTACCTACAAGTAAGTTTGGGTTCCTCCATTTTTATTCCCTGATTGGGACTGACATAGAAGGATCAGCTACATGTGATCAGCTAGATATGATGCAGACGGAGATGGGGCACAATGGCAGGCGGGCTTTGCAGTGGGGGTGAGGGTGAATAAGGGCCCACTATGGCACCTCCCCAATGGCAGTTTACATCATTTTCACATCATGGTTGCATTGTTTATATTATCCCCATCAACATTCAAATAAAATAGAAACTAGTTCACAGATTCATTCAATGAACATCAGTTATTGTGGGGATACCATAAAGTGGTCCTTGTTGATGATTATTTTCCTTTAAGGAGATTATAATATCCAAAGTATGTTCAATAATAAAAACGTTTCACAGCATGCAACATAAAACAATGCAACCTACGATACAATCTATTAATAACAACCTAAGGTTGCTATTCAATTATCTTTTCTCTCTCAGTGAGTCTTGTCGTCCATGTTCTCCATCTTCGTAGCTCTTAACCACTTTGGACTCATTTTTTTAACTGCATGATCTTAATCACTAAGCTGCAATCTACATAAATGGATTTGTAGACTGAGTGTGTCTCTGCATGGCTTGCTGTCCTCCAGCATTCTGAAATACAGTCAAAACAAATAACTTAATGATACTGACAACTTGAAAAACAAAAGAAAAAAAAAAAGAAAAGAAAACTGCTTTAAAACCTTTTTGAAAAGTCTGCAAGGTCATAGGCACATAAGTATGACTTTTTGTAGCAAAAGGAAGGTAGAGGTTTCCACATTTCAAAAGGGAACTGACAAACTGTATTTCAGATCTCCCACCCAAGTATTTTTCTTCAACTCAGTTGTACTCCTGGGTGGAAAGAGGCCCTGTGAAAGTAAGGCATTTTTGCCACAGAACAACTGACTATTCAATCCCTGGTACCAGTCCCCCCCTAACTAGAGGTTATCATGTACAAACTAATGCATTGTGCATAACCGAGATTAATTAAGTGTCCTTTCATGGAATATGTCCCCAATAGAAAATGTTCATGAGAGAGGTGTCCCCCTTTTATACATGTACTCTTATCTCACAATGGAGCTTCAACAGCATAATGTAATTTATTATACATGTACCTACCATAAATGGATTGGCTTGTTGGCCCTGTTGCCAGCCACCAAACTGTTGCATTTGCTGCTGTCCAAATTGACCACCTCCCATTCCTTGCATACTGCCACCAAATGCCGCCCCTCCTTGACCGCCAAAACCACCACTTGGCTGTCCCCCGAAGCCACCAGGATTCCCAAACCCAGAAGCTTGCTGTTGACTTCCAAAGGCGCCACCACCAGACATGGGATTAGCTCCAAATCCACCTGACGAAGCTCCAAACCCACCTGTGGAAGCTCCAAATCCAGATGCCAGCTGAGCAGGCTGAGCAGCACCAAATCCCTGATTACTGCCAAAGCCAGGCTGATTACCACCAAAGTTCATTTGACCCCTCACTGGGGGCTGCTGTTGTGGCTGGCCACCTCCCATTTTTCCAAACTGTGTCCAAGCCATTGCTGTCATTCCAGCACCACCAAGGCTAAGATTCTGTTGTGTAGAGGCTGGTGCCATACCCATATTTTGCCCACCCATTGGTTGCATCCCTCCCATACCTCCCCAACCAGGCTGCTGACTTCCACCAAATGATGACTGCGGCTGTGCTGATGAAAAGTTACCAAACCCCCCAGTAGAGGGTTGGCTGCTACCAAATGCTGCACTGGAAGGCTGACTGCCAAACCCTGAACTAACTGGTTGGCTTCCGAATACTGAACCTGAACCAGAAGTTGCTGTCATAGTACTAGCAGGACTCATGCTCCTCGTAGGACCATTGAGCTGTCCAAAGCCAGCTGCACCTCCACCCAGGCCTTGAAATGGATTGGACATTTGCTGCTGTTGCGGCTGCTTTGGTTGCTGAAACCCTCCAGACATTGTGCCTGATGACGTACTTGAGAAGGGGTTTGGTCCACTAGACATTCCAAATGAAGAAGAGCCACTAGAACCAAAGCCTGACCCTGAACTAATACTATTGCTGCTGCTGCTGGTTGCAGGACCAAACAAATTATCCAACTGACTGAGTGCTGCATACCTGTCTCCTGATGTACTTTGGGGTGCTGAGGCCCCAGACGCTGATACTAGTGGTCCAAACCCAGCATTTGATGTTGGCTGAGGAGCTGGGGCTGGAGCTGTTATCAAAAAGAAAGTTACTACTTTCATAACCTGTTCACTCCCAAGAGCTTAAGATAGATCCCAGATTTTTAAAAACACTTAATGCATTTTGAGCTTGAAATTTCAAATGCATGATAGTTAACGAAGCCACAGCCCAAGTAAACTACCACACATAGAAATCAAGAGTGAATAATCTACTGGTAATTGTTTTTTATAAATCTACTAGTCATTCAAAACTTCCCAAATTTTACAGCTGACATTGCCAGTTACTCTAACTCTATCAGGCTAGCTGTGCCATCCAGTTTATACTTAACCATTAGATAACGAGTTTGAGATTTCTACTGCGTGATAGCTGAGGAGGGCACAGCCCGAGTCAGCTATAGAAAGAAATAAATGCATGTTGCACTTGTAAACAGGTAATTTTGTGCAAGTAGGTGTTAAAGGCCTTCCTTGTGCATGTCGGGTGGAGGCACAGTGGCTTCATGGTTAGTGCGCTCATCCCCGGATCGGGCAGTCCAGGTTCAAGCCCTGGCCAGGAACTCTGAGTTGTGTTCTTGGGCAAGACACTTAACTCTCACAGTGCCTCTCGCCACGCAGGAGTATAAATGGGTACCAGCGAATTGTTGGGGAAGCCTAACAAATTGCTGGGGAATGACCTGTGATGGACTAGCATCCCATCCAGGGGGAGTAGAAATACTCCTAGCAGCTTCATGCTACAGAAACCAGGATAAGCTCCAGCAGCTATGAGCTAGTCGGCTCCAAGGCTTCACTTTTGTGCATGTCGGGCTTTGCAGGAGAATGACTGGGACCAGAAACTGTGAAAGAGAAGCCCTGACACCTACATGTAGGTTAATAGATGGATTTGTCCTTGTTGCCACCCATTTCAGATCATGAGATGATTCATTTGGGAGGTTACATGTACAATTGATCTGTTCACACAAACCCTCATGCACTCAGTAGCTGGTGACAAATTGCACAATCGTAACCTCCCAAATGAATCACATGTTCTGAATTGGGTCAACAAGGATGTTAACATGTTAGCCGAATTCACCTGTCTATCAAACCTATCAAATTTCCACTTGTGTAGGGAGTGAGGAAATTTACAGACTGAGATGTTTAACACAAAGAAATATGATTTTTAGATTGAAAAGTAAACTAACCTGATGATGGTGGAGTGCCAAAGGCATTAAATCCTCCAGAGGATGCTGGCGGTGATCCAAAAGCATCAAAGAAATTGGCCTGTGCTTGTGGCTGGGCAGCAGGTTGCGGCTGCTGCTGGGGTGGTGCGCCAAATGCCGCAAACCCTGGCTGGGCTTGTTGAGCCGGCTGTGGCACTGTTGACCCAAATGGGTCGAATGAATTCTGAGCAGGAGCTGCTGGTTGACCGCCAAATGCATTGAATTCCGCAAAGCCACCTGGCTGTGGAGGTGATCCAAACTGACCTGGGAAAACACATTTATCAAAAATTAAGCATGCATGTATCACAGAGACATGGCTTGATTCCTGTAATATCATCAAGCACAAACTGTTAATAATAAACTGGACTCACTATCTTGGCCAGATGTAAAAAGAAAGAGAAAACATATTTTGTGAAGACAAGAATAAAGATAATGATGCAATTCAATTTTGCCAATATTGAATGCATGGTTTTGACAGTTAAATGTGAACTTCAGATGTTAAAAACATGTGTTAGCATGGATTTTTTCAATGAATTGGATAAATCAGTGCAGCCAATCAAATTAATTTTAGAGATTGATTCACATTAAACTAACACAAGGCTAGTTTCTACATGTACAAATAGAAACTACATCCATTCAATAAATACATCTGTTTAGCTCTTCCTGGTCTATGTGAATGGCGTCTTCAAGGCCATTGTTGTTACCGCTGCTGTTGTAGAATAGCTCAGATTAGAAACAAAAGTTAATTTTTAAGAAATTTTTGGGAATAATTTGTTCAGAAAAATTGGTGTTACATCGAGCAATGTTCTTTAATGGTCATTTTCTTTTTTCTTGTCACCTGACTGCTTAATAATGCATTGACAGTGTAAAGAGACCTTAGTTTTTCGTCACAATTTACAAAATAAAGGGATAAAGCAAAAAATTATTCTTACCTTGCGGTTGTGGTTGTGCAAAAGGATCTCCCCCTAAGTCACCAAGTAAATCCACTGATGGAGGTTTAGGCTGCGGAGCTGGTTGTGGAGCTGGCTGAGGGGCTACATGTTGCACCATTCCTGGGGGTGGTGCAACAGACACAGGTACAGATGATCCACTATTTTGACTGCCAGTGCGAGGTCTTTCTCTTGTAGCTTGTGCCTGATTTGTGAGCATTAATTTTTTAGTAGACTAGCATGACCACCTACATGTATTAATAAACATGGCAAATGATTCACTGCATCAGTAAAATGCTTCTCCTGTACACACATGTCCTTCACGCAAGAGATTTTAAACACCTCCTGTAGTGTTTAACCGTCATTGCTGGGCACATTGGGCTTAATCTTACATGGGGTAAGGTGCAGCATGCTGTGTAAGGAAGGACTAGATGGAGAGAGGCACTTAAAACAATACATCCCACAGTCTGTTTTCACGTAGCCTGGCTAAAATAGGTACAAAACATTGCATGTAAAAGGGAAAATGGACAAATTTTATAATAAACTTTTGGCATACACTGTACATGTAACTTATTGACATATATGTTTTGATGAGTTTACTGATCAAATTTGTGAAGAGTTGGTTTGATTTACTGACACCAATTCCATCCCAAGTCAACTTCACCAGGGAAAAACAAAAAGACAATTAAAATAAAACCCACGGAAAATTCTCAAGAACTTGTTCAGAACTTAAGAAAAATTAATGAAATGTGATTACTTGAATTGCAAATATGTCAAGAAAGGTAAAGTCTACATACGAACCAGGTGACCCATCAAGCCTGAGTTTATCCCGGTTTCTCTAGCATGAAGCAACTAGGAATATTTCAACTCCCCCCTGGATGGGATACTAGTCCCCAGCATTAAACTTGCCGGTACCCATTTCTACACCTGGGTGGAGAGAGGCACTGTGAGAGTAAAGTGTCTTGCCCATGAACACAACAGAATGGCCCAGCCAGGGCTCAAACCTGGACCACTCAATCCGCAGTGGAGCACACTAACCATGGGGCCACAGCACCTCCACAAAGATGGTAATGTAATCAATATTATAAAAATGTTCTTCAGATTTTACCAAATGTGATAATTTTAACAGCAATGTAAATCATAAAGCTACTAATTCATTAAGAAACTTTCGTTTGTACTTACTTGCACTGATACAGCTGGTGTATTTTCTCCTAAAAGTTGTTTCAGTGGTTTAGGTTCAGGTGCTGCCTGACTCGAATTGGTATTGCTGACTTGTTGTGGAGGGATGTACCACCTTTTCCGCTCATATTTCTGAACCATAAAATCTTTAATCTTTTGCTCATCTCTAGATTCTGGTTCTGCAGGTTGTGCAGAGTTCCACAGCCCGAGCCAAACCTTTTTACAATACTGTGAGGTAAACACATGAAAAGGTGACTCACTCTAAAGATTGACATGCATACTTTGAAATTAATTGTATAGGAAAGGAGAAATTAAAACATTAGACCACAGAACTCTCTCAAAAGGGCCTGGTGGTTTTTTAAAATATATGTAATTAGCCGAGATATGTCAAGTACTTAACAGTGAATATTACTTCTCAAATATATCCCACCAGCTAGTGAAAGAAGATTTGAAAATGGCTTGTGACTATCGGAAAAAGAAGGAATCATGAAAAGATTTTGGTGCAATAAACACAGGAAGTTTAAGAAAATAACTAAGGCTAAATGTTTCCATAGGTGCCATCTCAAAAAAGACTGATTCAGTATATAATTTTAGAAAACAACCCTAAGTAAATATCCATGCTGATTGGTTAAAAATCGTGTTTCCATAACTCGATAGAAACATAGAACTAACACAAGCTGTTGACATAATGATGGTGCAGGCAAAGAGAATTTAGATTTTGATAATCAAAGTTAACAAGTTGTTTCCGTGTTTCTATCGAGTTATAGAAGCAGTTGTGAAAGTTTGGGAGAACTCGAAAAAGCTGTGGAAACACTCGCCTGTGACTTGTGTTCCCACAGCATTTCTTGTTCTCCCAAACTTTCACTTGTGTTTCTATCACTCCATAGAAACACGATACATGTTCTCTATTTCTTAAATACAGGTGTACCCATTATAAAGGGGCAGGGCTGGAAATAACAGCCACACAACATCTACAGGACAACAACATAGGACAACGTCCGGCTTGATAAGGGATTTGACCAGACCGATCAAAATTTTGCCTTGCTGTTCACATTCAATCATATCAAGAAAAAAATTAAACTTTTCATGCAGATGCTCTTGTTTATTATTAAAAACTGGATCATTGGATAATGCAATTCAAGAGTTTTCAGTGGCTTAGCCATCATGGGTAATGAGCCATTACACCATGCTCTACAAATGGTAAGCGTATGTGTGATGTTTTCATGGGGCGTTTTTTATTTTACTTTGGGGGCGTTTCTAATGAAGCCATCATTTCACTCATGGTTATTGAATATGAAATGATTAAAGCCAACTTGACACTACACGTCTCGTTGGCTATCTACCATCTCATATCCAACATGCACTCGTGGAATAATAATTATTTACTATCAGCATCACCATGCTGTATATTCTGTATATTCTGTACAATCTGTATATTCAGAAAAAAATTTGTTCCAGCGTTGTTTTTAAGGAAACTACCACAAACTATATATCAATAAAAAGGTTATAAACTGTACAATTTGGAAAAAAGTGTGTACTGTTTTGGCTGTGCTTTTGCCTTTGGACTTTTCTCTTCCTTTTTTTACCACGTTTCATGACCTTAAAGACAATGAGGAGTGATAGGTAGCAGAGAAGGACAAATTAATTCAAGAACACAATTGCNCATTATAAAGGGACAGGGCTGGAAATAACAGCCGCACAACATCTATAGGACAACAACATAGGACAACGTCTGGCTTGATAAGGGATTTGACCAGACCGATCAAAATTTTGCCTTGCTGGTCACATTCAATCATATCAAGAAAAAAATTAAACCTTTCATGCAGATGCTCTTGTTTATGATTAAAAACTGGATCATTGGATAATGCAATTCAAGAGTTTTCATTGGCTTAGCCATCATGGGTAACAAGCCATTACACCGTGCTCTACAAATGGTAAGCGTATGTGTGATGTTTTCATGGGGCGTTTTTTTATTTTACTTTGGGGGCGTTTCTAATGAAGCCATCATTCCACTCATGCTTGTTGGATATGAAATGATTAAAGCCAACTTGACACTACACGTCTCGTTGGCTATCTACCATCTCATATCCAACATGCACTCGTGGAATAATAATTATTTACTATCAGCATCACCATGCTGTATATTCTGTATATTCTGTACAATCTGTATATTCAGAAAAAAATTTGTTCCAGCGTTGTTTTTAAGGAAACTACCACAAACTATATATCAATAAAAAGGTTATAAACTGTACAATTTGGAAAAAAGTGTGTACTGTTTTGGCTGTGCTTTTGCCTTTGGACTTTTCTCTTCCTTTTTTTACCACGTTTCATGACCTTAAAGACAATGAGGAGTGATAGGTAGCAGAGAAGGACAAATTAATTCAAGAACACAATTGCAAAATAGCTTGTAAACAAAAAATGCTAATGAGGGGCCCCCTGTAATAAGGAAGCTGTTTTGCGCAAAAAGTCGACACACTATGAGTATTAGGACACCTAAGTTCTGTTAAATTATTAACTTTTATTAAAAAAAAATAACTTGCGCAGGTTTCAAGATTTACCTTCATTTTCTGGGAAATGTTAGATTTTGTAGCAACCTTTTCGTTTTGCTTAGAAAGAAAATTTTGACAAAAGTAGCACTCTCAAGGTATTGTGCAACCTTAAAACTGTACTGACAATTGACATATTGAAATGCAAACTTCCACTCTCAAATTCAAAATATTTTTCCTTGAGTACTTTTCAAGTTGTCCATTTCCCTCTTGGATGCAAATTGGTTCCAACCCCAAAGTATAAAAGTCAAATTTCAAGAAACTATTAATTAAATAAATAATGAATTAAAAATGACCTTTCACTTCTTTACAAGTTTATTGTCTTTCCAAGTTGCAATCTGACTGCCATGTAAAGTGTAGCAAAGAAATTAGCTTTTACTTTGGGTGGGAGAAGGGGTTAATATTGTGTATTACGAAAAATTACTCATTCTATTTGACCAGTCAGAAACAAGATATCGACAAGCTAAAATTAATTTGGCAGGTTGTTTGGACAGGCAACTGGGCAACCGTTACTTGCAGCCCTGAAAGTATAGAGAAATAGCATCTGCCCAAGGGATAATTTCATAACAAACACACTTTAAAAGTACAGATGTTCTGTTATGTTTAACCATTAAAATGCAAATGGGAAAAATGCGTATATACATGTATATACAAGCACAATGCTTCACAAAAATTATCCATTACTCATTCAAAGAAACAACAT